AGCTTTATTTTTACACTTTCGGTCATCACCACAAACACTATAATCAACATCATGTTGCATGGCCACAGCATCAGTTGGTCCAGTTGGTTGATCGTAAATTTCTAATATTTCACCAGTTTCCGGATTGTATCGCACTTGGTTTTCGAGATCGTTATAAGGACCTGTATATTTATGCCCCGGTAAGGTCCATCCACCTTTTGGTTTTGGTAATTTACCAATCTGTTTATGGATATCTATTGTTCCTCCAAATCCCGGGAATGTAAAAGACGGTTTTCCCGCCCAACCCTTATTTTTAACGAAACTTGTATACGATCCCTTGTAACCATTAGCTTTAGCTTTCTTGTATTGCTCCTTGTAGTACTTAACACGAGCTTTAGCATCTTTGATTTCATCACCACTTGGCTGTTTAAATAAATCAGGGTCAGTCAATAATTGGAATCCTTTTTTAAAATCCACATGATACGGAGATCCAAATGCACCTGATGTTAATGCACTATTAACTATTCCAGCACCGTCCAAATCTTTCCTGTTTGTTTTATAGTTTTTCTTTGGTCGTATTTTAGTTGACAATTGGTTAAGAGCTTGAGAACCGACATTTTGAATCATTGGATTTAATTTGTTCAAAGTATAATCTATAGCTTTTTTCTGTAATTTAGGGTTTCTGAGTGCTTCTGAGCCATAATATCGTCCCATTTCAACTGCTTTTTTACCCATCCAAGGTAAGCCGTAATGAACAAAACCATCAACTGCAGTACCAACTACAGTATCAAAGACGCCCGCCCCTTCAGACGGGCTGATTAGTTTTTTGACTTTCGTTTTCTCTTTTTTCCACTTCCAGTTTGAGAAGCTGATCCAGTTTTTACATATTTAACTTTTTTATTTCCACAAACTGCACATCTACAAAAGAATTGAGTTCTACCTCTTTTATCAGTTTGGTAACCACTTGGCTCTGTGCAAGGAGTTACTCTTTTATCTACAATACAATATGATTCTTTCATTTAATATAATGTTTAGATAAAATATGTCTACTAGATCTAATTTTTTAAAAAGTGAACTTCAAAAGATATATAACAATTTAAACATGAGTTTTGAATACGCTGATTTTGCTAGATTGGAAAATGACACTAGATTTATAAAAGTATTTTAGTTGCTTATGGAAATAAGTGAAAAATCAAGTACTCTCAAAAAAGTTGTAAAAGGTAATTATCTATTCATATAACAAATGGAAGCCAAATTCTTTTCTGAAATAGAAAAAAAGATGGATGTTAAAACACTAAAAGATTTTGAGAAAGATGTACGAACACAAATAAATAATGAGTTTGAGACTCTTAGAAAGAAAAATGATGATCTTTCTAGAATACTAATGGCTGGTGAATGTGAGATGTGGAAAAAGATCAGAGATGAGGACTATTCTTGGTTGAAAATAAATAGTGATAAAAAGAAGAAACTTTATCGTCTTATTGATATTTATTGTAGTTTTGATGAAATAGTAGATAGTGTTAAAGATTTAAATAAAAAAGTTGAGAAAGTTAAGCAACTAAAGGATAAGCCAGCGGATAGTGAATAAAAAAGTAATATATAGGATTAAAAAAATAATATTTAATAAATATTATTTTTATCCTCCAAAATACTCTTGTATGAAATCACTGTTATCATTATCAAAATGCGGGTTATGTATTACATCTAAAATACTATTACCCCTTTGTCGCTCAAACAGATAATACAAACACCAATAACCACAGAGAACAGTATTGCGATTTTGTATTTCATCTGTTGAGTAAATTATTCGTTTTTTAGCTGTATGAAAATACTTTAATGCTTCATTTGGCATTATTAGTCCAAATGGATCAAAGTACTCAACTACATTGTCTATATTTCTATAACAAACCCAATGTGTTCCAGGACCTGTTATATCATCTAGATTGATTATTCCACATTCTTTTTTTATCTTATGAGGTAGTCCATCGCGACTATAAATTCCTCTAAAATGTTTAATACCAAGTCTTTTTATCCAATCCAAAAGGTCAAAGTTGGAAAGAGGTTTAATTACAAAATGGTTCCGAGAATTGGAATTGAGTTGAATGGACTGTTTTTTCCTAGAAGAAGACCCTTGCCCTTGGACTTTTTTTTTTTAATCCCCATTCCAATTGGGTTTTCCCATGTTCCAATAAAGGGTGGTGGGAAGTGATAAGGATAACCTTCACCATGTGTGGGTGGAGGAGGAGGTGGGACGTAAACATTTGATGTATTAGATGATCCACGTCTATCAACCTGAAGTCCCCCACCAAACATCTTAGATACTAAACTAATTGCCATTGGAATTCCAATAGAAGCAAGAGTTCCAAGAAATCCTCCTTCTATCTGTTTACGAGTTGGTTTGATAACTAGTCTTCCTCCTGATTGATAAGCTTTGTTAATTTGATTTATTTGTGATTTGGTAAATTCTCTTACAAGAGGTGGTAACATTGGGAAAAATTGTGGGGGAATTGTAATTCCTTTTCCAAATATTTTATTTAATCCAATTTCTCCAAGTGCAGAAGCAGCACCAGTTGCTAATGCAGGAACAACTTTTGAAACTCCTTTTATTGCGTAAGGTAGTACTCGCGCTCCAAGAGATGCGAGTGATGAAAATAAGTTTCCACCATGTTTTACAGAATGTCTAATCTGTGTTTTACTTATCTTTATATCTGATCCTGTGCCATTTGCAATAGATTTTTTTATTTTAGAAATTTGTCTTTTAGTCAGCATTAACTCATCAGAACCTCGAAGCTGAGAATGTTTTAACCGAAGAGTTAGTGGTGATTTATTTCTTATTGCAGAAGCTAGTTTTGACTTTTGCCCATCTGTAAGTGTTACTTTATATTCAATATAAGTAGTCATTTTTATTTTAATAATTATATTAATATTTTTGTGTTGGATTAAGTAACACACTTAATGTTGTAATAAATCCTTCAATAATTTCTTTTAATTGATTTCTACTTATTGAATATATCGACATTTTTCCACGATTTGCTGTTAAAAGAGAACTTATTATACTTGCCAAACCAAATGATGCTTCAGAGTCTAAATTTTTTATTTTACTTTTTAGATCTGTTGTTAAACTTATACCAAGTAATCTTTTTGTTTCGGGATAGTTTAAAATATTTTTTAGAATATTTTCACCATTAGTAGATGGTTTTGTATTTGTTTGAATAAGATCTTCATTTAAAACTTTATACTTTTTACCTTTTGGAAATAGCTCTTCATCCATAAGTAGTTCTTTTGTTGTTGGTTTTGGGTTTGGGATAACAATATTTAAATCTATTAAATCTTTTACTTCTTCATCACCAAAGTCTATTAAATCGTTTCTTCATCACCAAAGTCTATTAAATCTTTTTCTAATTTTTCTGTAAGATATAATAGTTCTTGATTATTATAAGGTTTATCACTAATAGCTAATAGTTTTGGTGTATTTGATTGTTTAAATTTTCTAATATTTTCATAATAGTAAATATAAGAATTTATTTTTATTACTTCTTTGTAAGTTTTTACAAGCTGTTTGTTGCTAAAAGAAATATTTCTGTTTCCTCCAATACCAAATCCCCCCTTTCTAAAAAGTATTAGATCTTTTATTTGACTTTTTGTAAAATAAAATATAAATCTTTTTTGTTTATTGTTTAAATGAAAAGTAGTAACTCTTCGTAAAAGAAATCCTTTTTTATTTTTAATTAGTTTTTCTTGACCAAATTTTTCTTCTACTTTAATATTTTTTTTAACACGATTCAAATATCTTTTTAATTCTTTTATTTCTAAATAAATTAATGTTGGATAGTAATTTCCTATTTTTTCTTTAATGTTTAATTTTTTAACAAAATCACTTATATCTTTTTTATTTTTATAACCAATAGTAATTGTTTTTTTAGATGGTTGTTTGTATAATTCTACTTCTTTACTTTGTTTTGATGTCCAATAATCAGCTTTGGGAGGAAAATATATTCCTGGATTATCTTCCCATTCATTTTCTAATGCTTTGACAATAAGATTAGTTAGTATAATATTGTTATTAAGTGTTTGTCGGCAAACTTTTTTAAAGTGTAAACCAGAAAATTTAATAATATATTTTTTTCCATTCTTTATTGCATTTATATTTTCTTTTGCTTTTTCTTTTGTTAGATATATAAGAAAAGCAACTTTATTTTTATCATTTTTATATTTATAGTCAACTTTAATTTCGTAAGAACTATATATTTTTTCTTCTACACATCTTTTTTCGAAATCCCTTTTTTGTTTAATAGTAAGAAAAGTAATACTTGGTGTGTATATATCTATTTTATTTTTAAATAATTTTTTAAATACTTCTTCTTGAGATGGAGTTAATCTTTTAATACCTAGTAACTTTAGCATTATTTATATTTATTAATATATTAATATATTAAGCTCTTAGCAATAGTTTTCCATCTTGTTGTGATATTTCTGCTATTCTTTCATGTAAGACTAACGCGTAAATATTATAATCAGCGTTTGGATTAGCTGTTAATTCGTAATGAAATGCTAATTTTGTAACACCATCTTTGATATCCATTTTTTGTTTTGTCAGGTCAAAATAAACAAAAGGAAATAAAGATTTGAAATTACTTATATTAAGTAATGTTCCACCTTGATAATCATTATTTGCATAGACGTATGACATTACATTTCTAAAAACCCTTGACATATCAGTAGAAGGTTTAAAGTGAATATCTGGGTATTCGTTTCCATTTGCAACTTCCAGGTAACATCTTGATATATTAGCATTATTTGGTAGATTAAAAGTGTCGTATAAAAATGGATTTGCTGTTTGTGAATCAATTCTTGCCGTGTTAATTCCAAAAACAAATACATGTCTTGGCTTTGAAATAGCATTTGTAATTCTAAAATGCCCTGTCTGTTGCTGTGAATTATTTGATCTTTCAACTACTTCATTCAAATATGACCATTTGTAAGGTTTAAGATAATTCTCCATGTACAACTTTTGCCCTTCCGAATTAAACGTAAGTTTTGGAATAAAAAGTTGTAGTCTTGTTATAATAACTCTACAATTATCAGCTGCTTGAAAAATTAAATTTGCATCTTTTTCAATTTCGATATTTAGCTCAATTTTTGTATTTGGAAGTAATTTGTCTTCCAATGCTTCAAAGAAAGAATATCTATTAAGAGGAATTTCACAGTTTACTGTGGCTGATGTACCTAGTAGTAATTTTCTTTTATGAAAACCTTTATTATAAGTTGCTTTTCTTTTAGCTAACTGATTTGTGCCACTAACTTCAAATTCTCTTTCCTCTGCATTTCTTGTTGTATCAAGAAAATAAAATTCATTTGCAGCAACACTCTCAGCATATGAAGGATTATACTCAAGAAGATTTTTAATATTTACAACATGATTTGCGTAGTTACAACTATAAACTTCTCGACCATTTGCTAGGATACTTAATTTTTCTATAAATGAGTTACTACCATTTACAATTCCGTTATGGTCAGCAATCGCTAAATTTCCTCCATCTGCCAGCTTATTTACTTTAAAATCCATTGACAACCTTGCGTTATACCAATCAAAAGGAGTAGTTTCTCCTGTGTTATCAGCAACAAATCTAAGACCTGTTTTAGTTTGGTGAGCGTTATTTGCTGGAGCTGTATCTAGAGACTGTTCCAAGTCAAAAACAACATCCTCATATCTATCTAAATATTTTGGATTTCTAAAAGACTTCATTTTATTTTAATAATTATATAATTTTCTCTTACGTGTTGATCCTCCACTAAGAAGGTTATTCAATGTTTGATTTATCTCTTGTTGAGTCATTGTTTCAACATTTTTATTAAAAGTAACTTTTTTAGTTGGTTTTGCTTTTTCTTTTGATAACATTTGAACTATCTTATCACCAGCCTTTTTACCAACATGTTCACCGGTTTTTGTTGCAGCTGCTGTTACCGCTTTTTTAGCTCCTTTTTTAACAGCTGATTTGACTGTTTTTCCAAATAATTTTGAACCAACTGATTTAAACACATCCATCATTCCTTCACCATAAATATGTTGTCTTGTATATCTCCCCAATTCAGGGTCAAGTTTCATTTTAAACTCTGATTGTCGCTTCATTTTATTTTAATAGTTATATTACATCGAGTGAAGTATCAAAGTCATAAACCAATCAATACCATTAAAATTTACAGGTCTTCCAAGCGAGTCTGTAACATAGATTCTCATTTCATCAATGTGAAATGAAGAGACATCGCAATACAATGGTCTTTTAGGTTCAAACTTAAATGGAAAAGACCTTGTAAGATTATCAGTTGGTATCACAGCAATGGTATTTGTATTTATTCCGTTTACAATGCTATCAGTTATTGCGCTTGTGTTGATATTTAATACATCAATCGAATTTGTGATATTTGGTAGTTTTGATCCATACTCTGTTTTTGTAATAAGTTTCTTTGCAAAACCAATCAGGTCTCCAAAATCTGTTCCTCTTAGATCAAGTTGATAATCACCATCAAGTGATATGAGAACTCGATAGGTAGATAGTATAAAAGTTAGATTGATTGAATAAGTTTTTTTCCCGCTTGAATCTGTTGTGTGATGAGACTTTTGAGACATATATTGATGAATGTAATCATTAATATCTGAGTAGGAATACATTCCATCTGTAAAAGTAATTGTTTGCCAAGTCCTTCCATCATGGGTGTATTTGATTTTATTGTTTCCATAATCACTTCTAATATTATACCAAGAGTAAGTCATTGACAACCGATCAAGAGCAAGTTGGTGTTTTTTATCAGGGTCAAGTTTTAGAGATGGATTAAACTTAATAGTAAAATCACCAGGTCTGCTTGTTCCTCTTTTTTCCCTATTTATTGAGGAAATGTGGATAGCTCGTTCTTCCATTTTTATATAATTGATATATAATTTTTTAGTAGATTGTTAAGTTGTTTTTTTGAGATCACTTTCATTTGGTTAAGAAGATGTGCTATTTGAGAAAACTCAGGTATTACACCATTATTCCCAGCAAGAATTGAACCACCGAGTAATTCAAGTCTTTTTAGAAGTTGATGTGGGTTGTTAAAGTAAATACCTTCCCCTACCTTATATTTAAGCGATCTTAAGTAATCTTTCATAGTATTTCTATATTTCATTAGTGTTCCTTTTTGCATTTTTTTAATTTCAGTTTCAGTTTCATATAGTGGAGATGGATTTTTAGCTTTCTTTCTACCACTAATTTCACCATTTAGTTGTTTTATATTACCTTTTAATTCTTCTAAAGTTAGATCTAAATCTTTAGGATTAATTTCAAAGAAAGAATTTGGTCTTGGGTATCCAAATTCTTTTAATAACTCTAAATCTCTTCCTTCAAAGTTTTTTTCTAAATTTAAATATTTATCCGGAGGTGTACCTTCTGGGGTATATTTCCAATTTCCATCCCATCCTGTTTCATTGTCGTAATCTTCTTCAAGATATGGTAATTCTTTAATATCAGCTAATCGGTTAAACTGTTCAAAACCTTGAGTAAGAGCAAGTTGATTTTTTTTAAGTTGAGCTATAGTTGCGTTTTGTTGCTTATCAATACTTTTTTTAATGCTATCTTGAGATTTAATAAGTGGTTTAAACGTCTCTTTAAAACCCTCTCTCATATCTTGTTTTTGCCATTTTGTTGTTTTTATAACATCTCTCACCTGTTTAGTCAAAGCATCAGCTTCAATTTTATTTCTTGCAAGTTTTTTGTATTCTTCAATATTCATTTATATATTCATTAGATAAATGGAAATACCAAACTATGATAGTGGTGACAACCCAGATAAAAAATATAAACAGTTATTTCCTTACATGCCCAAAGATACATTTCGGATGTTAATCTGTGGAAACAGTGGAAGTGGTAAGACTAATCTGCTGTATCATATGTTAATTAAGCCACTACTGTATTATGATGAGATTTATCTTTACGCGCGTAATTTAGAACAGGATAAGTATCAAAAGCTAATTCAAAAAATGAGGGAGTTGAGTAGTAAACTAGGATATGAAATACTTCATGTAAGTAATGATGAAATAACCCCAGTGTCAAAAATGGATTACGAAGACAATCAAAAACTTGTGATATTCGATGACTATATTTGTGATAAAAACCAGAGACAACTGATTGATTATTTTATTCAAGGACGACATAAGAATTGTTCGGTGGTGTATCTCAGTCAATCGTTTTACAAAACTCCAAAGGATATTCGGCTGAATTGTTCTCATTACTGTTTATACGAATTTCCATCATCAAGGGAAGCCAACAGAATATCATCTGAGTTGGGAGTAAGTAAAGAAGATTACCACGCAGCAACTAAAAAACCGTATTCATTTCTATACGTTGATAAACCAAGAAAACGTATTGCAAAAAACTTTACTGGTAATCTAACCTAATAATTAAAATGGGAATATTTAACGAACAATCTCTTGATCATCCCTTTGCTAAGGGAATACAAGGTGCTCCAGGAGTTGGATTTACTCTCACTTCAAGTGGGGATTATGATATGATAAATAAAAAGCTAAGAAATGTAGGTGCACCTAGTGCTAATACTGATGCTGCTACAAAAAAATATGTTGATGATAATTCCAGTGGATCACCCTCAACATCACGACTAACAGTTGACTCAAACATTGATATGAAAGATACATACCGTATTCAAAATCTTATCACACCACTGGATTCTAAAGATCCAGCAACAAAATATTACGTAGACAACACATTTCTTGATAGAGATGGATCTTACCCAATGAAAGGAAATCTAAATATGGACAACAATCGAATATTTAATCTACCAGCTCCAAATGGTAGTAATCAACCAACACCATTAGCTTTCACAGATTTGAAGTATCTTCACGTTAATGGAACAAATAAAATGACTAATAATCTAAACATGGATAATAAAAAAATAATTAAACTTAGACAACCAACAGACTCCACAGATGGTGCAACCAAAAAGTATGTAGATGACTCAATACCTAATACTAGTTCTTTTATAAAAAAGGACGGAAGTGTTGCAATGACAAGTAACCTAAATCTTGGAAACAAAAAAATAGTTGGTCCCGCTACTCCAACATCAAATACAGATGCTGCAACTAAAAAATATGTAGATGATAATGCTGGAAGTCCAGATTGAAGTGATTACTTGGAAAAAGATGGTACCGTAACTATGACTGGTAATCTTAATCTTGGTAATAATAAAATAGTTAACCTCAGTGACCCCACCACAGATCAAGAAGCTGCTAATCGCGGATGGGTTCGTAAACAAATAGATCGCCTTGATCATCATTCTGGAGACGCCTCAAGTAGTGTATTTACCATAACAGATCCAGCTGCACCAACGACTTTGTATCTACAATATATCTCAGGTTCATCATTTGATGATTTTGTTTTTACAACATCAGCACCTGGTCAACCTCTGGTAGGGTGGGCACCAACTGCTAACACATACATTAACAAAATAGAATTTCAATTTGGTTCGCGAAATATAAACGTTGACTTTTTGTGGTTTATACCCACAGATACCTCTCATTCCAATTCTAACTTTTGGGTAAGTGGAAATCGTACTGACACTTGGTCATTAAATATTAACAAGTCTTGGAATTATAATATGTCAGGAGTAAAACTAAGAACCCATAACAATTCAAATCACACAGCTATCACTTGTAGGCTATTCACTGATCTGCCAAAAGCAATAACCAAACCACTTAAGAGAATAGAAATCAACACACCTAAAATTGTAATAAGTGGGGTTGTAAAAGCTGATGTCAACCTTGGTGGTAATAAAATAGAGAATCTGGGTGTACCAACCCAAGACAATGAAGCAGTAAACAAAGGTTATGTTGACAATCTAGTTCATCATACTGCAGTTCAACCAAGTCATTATAAAGATGAATTTAGTTACCTCATGTCAAGTGGGTCTCAATGGACTGATGAAATAGATAGTGGATTTAGTTTTTTTATAAATAAGATAGGAGACTTATCTCCTTCTAAAGGTAATTTTCATGACTATAACCACAAAGTTATTTACATGACTATAGTCAAAAATTCTGAAGGTAAATATAAGTATAAGATGGGAATTAATTTTTTCAGACTAGATCCAAATACTGATTACACACTATGTTTGGAAATACTCAACACTGATTATGATCTTTTTAATAATACTCAAATAACTGTTGACAAAGGAACTTCAACAGGATTATCAATTGGAAATGTAAGTGTAAAAAAACTATCCCATGAATATAAAGTTTCATCAGTGTTAACAAAAATTATGTTGTACCATAGAATAATAATTAATTTCAGGAAGTTGTTATCTGGGAATAAGTACTTTCTTCACATTTTGGTTGATATTCTTCGGGGTGGATATAACCTGGCTTCGTATCCGAGATTATTTTCAGGAGTTTATATGATTGCTTATGGTCTTAAGGGTACATTTAGAAATATCGATTCAGATAAAGTTTACGACTATCACACCGCATTTGATATTAAACCAACAGAAGTGGAGTACAATGTTGATATTAATGCAAATTTTCATTTAATTAAAAATATCAACTTTGACCGAAACAATGATCTTAGTGCTGCACCAGTTTTACTAGTAAAAGAATTAGCTCCTTTTACTAAAAATGCTTTGTACAGATTATACTTTTTTAGTGTCTATGACTTTGCTGATGCGGATAGTTACGGAATAAATATAGGTTCATCTGGAGTTATTATTAATTCGGTAAATACCTATATTACACTACCTCCTAATAAAGACTTAAGTAATATAAAAAAAGATGGCTTACATGTTAATGGTTATGATGTTACTTTTTCCCCTACACGTCATTTTTCGAAAACTACTTTATGTATTGTTTTTACTCATTGGAGAAATAGGAGTTTTACCCTAACTAAATATTTATCAACAAACAATAGCATACTGTTAAAATTAGATTATAATAAAACAAACAATAAAGTAACTTTAACTGTTAATAAAACAACTCAAAATTTTACCATGCTAAGTAGTTTTAACGGAAAAATAATTGTTGTATGGTTGGCAGAAGATTTAAGTGCAAATGTCACAAAAGTTTCAATAAGTAACTACAGCGCAGCATTAACTATACCAGCTGTTAATTACAATGCTAATCAACGTTGGAAGTTTACAACTGAAGATGGAGTGTTATTAAGATTAATGTTTTCTCCAAACTTTTACGACACTGACTCTGAGCAATATCATAAAGTAATGCTTCAAGAAAAGTTAAATGGATCTTATATAATATAAATATAAATGAAAAGAAATAGTAGTAAAAGAAAGAGTATTTTTGAATTTAATCATATTGATAAATCTTTATCAGAAGAACAATACCAAACTATTGCAGATCTTTATAAACATTACCATAAGAAACATTGGTGTTATAAAAAATCTTATAAAAGTTATAAATTTTTAGATAATTTTTTTTCTATTTCTAGTTTATCTCTTATTGCTGTTGGGACCATTACAGGAGGGTTGACACTCAATCCTATTATTCTTGGAGTAATCAACGGTGCAGGAATAATTGTGGCTGGAATTACAAAAAAGAAGGATTTAAAAAAAAAGATAGAAACAACAAAACTGGCTTATACTACTTATGAGAAAGTATTAGTAGAACTACGATCAGCACTCAGAGGAGATGAGTGGAATAAACAAGAATTTATAGATCGTATTAAAATTTTAGATGAAATGATAATTGATCAATGTCCATCGAGTGTGGATAACTTTGTGGAGAAGTATAAAAATAAATTTGAAAATATAGATTAAATACTAACTTAGTATTTAATCATAAGTATCTAAAGGTATTATACAATTTTGTTCTCCTCCAAGGAGGCCCTGAATTGGGGCCTCCTTTAATCCATCTGCCTTGGACCTGACCGCCCGTTTCAGGCGGGCAGCTCAAATTAAATTTTCGATATTAATGTAAATATCAAAATTAAATGTTTTTCTCAATCCTATGAAATACTTTTAAATGTGTATTTAATGTTTTTTTACTACGAAATGCTTTTGGGCAATATTTACAAGGAATTCTAACACCAGCCATATATTTATGTAACTTCTTACTGATATAGTCATAATCATTACTTAGAATATATGCATATTCATTATTTTTATATTTATCTTTAGTTTTTAGCTGTGATTCTGTTACACAGTAATAGTTAGTTGGTGATTTGAATTCAATACAGAGACCTTTATATTGAATGTGGTAATCTAATATCATTAGATCTGGTTGGCCTCGTTGATAACCTTTCTTATAGGAATCTAGTCTTTTTTCCTCTGTATCTTGATTCTCTCCCAGACCTGCTACCAATATAGAATCTGGATAATAATTTCTAATTAGTTGTACAACTTTGTAATGTAAATCTGTCTCATTTTCTATTTTAAACATTTTGTTATTTGGGTTGTCAAACATTTTATAAAATCCATATTTTCTTATTGACGGAAGAACTTGAGAGGTAATCCAATGTTTGAACTTCTTAGCTGTTTCTAATTTAGAGGATAACAAAAGGGAGTAGAAACCAGATTCATTGATATAAGTGCACATACTACCACTTGGAGCCACCGGACCCGTTTTGGGTCCCCTGGAATAACTTTTAGCCACCGGACCCGTTTTGGGTCCCCTGGAATGGCGAGTAAATATCTGTTGTTTATCCTCACTTTCAACATGATTTAAAACAGCTTTTTTGGTATTACTATACCCAAGTATCTCAGCTACATCCTTTCCGCGAAACCAAACATTTTGCTGTTTATCGATATATGAAGTCAATTCAATTCCTAAATCTTTATTAGTAAACTTCTTCTCCAACATGTTTGTCATTTATTAATTTATTTAAATCTTTAAACAAATAATTAATTTTTTTTTACTCTAATTATAATATAAAATGATTAGTAAAATAGTAGAATATGTTAATCTTTACTTTCCAACTTATAAAACTCCTCTTTACCCAGATAACTTTATTAAAGCTTTTCTAATATACCAATTTCTCTACGCAAAGTATTTCTCACAAAAACTAGACATAGATCAAATTATTTACAGACTGACAGAAGCAAGACACTACCTAAATTCAGATTCAAATATCATTACCAATCATCTAATATTCAGCCTAGCTTTTGGTGCTTTTTGGAAACACTATAGAATTGGAAGAGGATTTGTATATGCAATCAACTCACCTTTCAAAGAATGTGAAGTACTTGGTTATCTAACTGGAATAATTTACTGGATTTTTCATAAAGGAATAATATAATTACTTATCTAAAAGATTAAATTTTATATTTTTAAAATATAAAATTATCTAAGAATAAACACTAAAAAATATAAAATCCATTTCATTTAGACCAAGAAATTTTTTTTCCTCTAATGATAAACTATTAAACCAAGATATAATTTTATTTGGATTTATATCTGAAGGTTTATTAAGAGGATCATTAATTATACATAGCTTAATTTCATCAAAATAATATAAAGCCATATCACATTTATTTCTAATGTTTAAAACTTTATTTTCTTTTTCTATAATTTTTAGAATAATGTTGTTCATTTAATTATTTTTATATTATTCTTTAAATATCATTTTTAGATGGTTGCATACAGGACTAATTCAAACCTAACAATCTTCTTGCTTCTTCTCTTTTTAATTTCCAATACTCACTCTTTAATTCTTTCATGTAATCTTCTTCAGATATTCCATCTGGTGGCCTATAGCTTTCAAAAAAATATTCAAATAAAAAACTTTCTCCTTCTTGAACTTGTAAAAACAATTCTTTTGCTTCAATTTTTGGTGTATCAGCAACTCGATTACTCATTTATATTTATTTATATTATTTAAATCTTTATAACTATCCCACCACTTTTCATAAATCTCTAAAGTTTGAGGACTAATCTTAAGTACAATAAGTTTATACTTTTCACACCCCATCTCCTCCAAAAGTTTTTTGGTTAAATAATTAATATTTATCATTCTCTTTCTGAAGTATTGATTGTTTAGTATTTCCATTATTTTGTTATCTATTTTTATTAGTTTATCGTAAAGTTCACATTTTTGTTCATCATTTAGGTTTATTCTTTTAGAAATTTGATTAACCTTTTTCTCATAATGATACTTCCTATGATAAATACTCTTTTTTCTATAATGCAACCTATCCAAATCTTTTACATCAAATAATCCTAATACATGACCGTTTGCTGTACCACATTCATCACAGATTTTGAGGCCAGAATAAATAGTAAAACATTTAGTATTTGTGCAATTTGAACATTGTTTTTTTTCACTAACTTGCTGAATAGGTTTTTTATAATTATGAAGTATAGCTAAATATTTTTTTATTTCTTCTTCTGTATAAGAAATTTATTATTTAATACTTTATTTACTTTTAAATATTTTTTTATCTAAAAGCTAAAGTATGAACATTATCTTTAAGGACCTTTCTTTTATCATCTTCATTACTTAGTGCTATTTTGTTAACTTCTTTAGAATATATATCATGTTTTTCACTTCTTATTATTTTCATTTTTCTCATTTCTTTCTCACCTGAAAATAGACATTTAACATAATCATCAAAATCTAATTTCTTTTTCACAACATTTTTCTTTATTCCTTTACACTTTCTTACTTCCCTATCCTCCTCAATTTTAAAACTATAAAGTTTGGGTCGCAGCCCAACAAAATGGCTGATTTGACGGCCAGCTACTTCATCTTTAAACATTCCAATCACTTTTTTATTAGCTCCTGTAATTATCCCAGAAGGATGGATGGAAGGATAATCAGAAGTATCAAACTTATCTCTTACATCAGGACATATATCTAGATAAAAATCTTTTGTTTTAATCTCATACATTAGACTATCCGTATCTGTAAACAATAATTCTGCTTTATTTTTATATTTCTTTTTAATGTATGTGTAATGAAAATTAAACATTAGTGTTTTTGATAAATCTAGAATTGCTTGACCAACATATACTGGTTTGTTAAAATACACTTCTGTCTTTTTCATATGTACTGCTATAAGATTACGATCAAATATTGTACATCTATCAAAGTTTGGTCGACTTGATAGTTTTACAGCTTTTTTACGATTATCAATAAGATGTATATTTTGCCTTTTCCTTATATTTTCTATTGTTTTACCAAAAACTGAGTTATTCATTAATTTAAAAAAGTCTTTCTCAAAATTGTTAGCTGCTGTCTTTCGAAGTTCTGTATTCTTTCTGATATAAGATTCCATCCAAGGAGACTGGTAAAATGATATTCCTCTATGAACAGCAGTTATTCTCATACCCAACTCAAGATACTGTCTAAGATTTCGATAATGCACAACATAATTTTTTCGGGGTTTAAAATGACAAATTAGTTTTTCAACACCATTAACAATCATCTTCTCAGGAGCTAAAGGATAATCATTATGTGAATCCCATAGGTGTTCTGGATACTCTAAATCAACTTCAAATATAAAACCTTTTTTCCCAAGATTTGACATACTATGATTTGCTTTCTCTAGAATTTCATCTACCTTTTCTTTTGTTATATTTTTCATCCATTTAAATCCATGAGTAGGAAGATTTTGAGACATTGCCCATCCATAAAGATTGTTTGCATCTAAATATTGAATAAATGTTGACTCCTTTCCAGGATTATAATTTTTCATATATTTATTATTTGCTTCTGCATATCTCTTTGATATATGAGTTATACCACCACGAATACCTCGCTCAAACATCATTAACATATCATAATCATGAAGTAACTGTAATTGCTGACCTGTTTCTTTGAGACATGCATCCCAAGCTAAACCTGGAGATGTGTAATAGTGAACTGGATCTAGTTTGTAATGTTTGAGACAAGTTTTTCTAAAGTTTTCAAATACATCTGCTAGAAGTAATACATCAGACTTTAGATAAAGATCGTGATAATCTCTTATTGTTTTACATTTAAATGTATTCCAGACTTTAATTGCATGTTGGTAATCATCATCAGTTATGTCTTCATCGTTTAGTTTTGAATAGAATTCCTCTTTGGGTGGTAATTGTGTTTCTGATAATTTATCAAGTGATGAAACATAATCATAAGGATAAACTCCCTTACGAGTTAGTAATTCTACATTTTTCTTGAATACATGTTTTGTATTATGAAAGTCATCTGCTGATAAATTTGAAACAAGATTGGCAAGTGATGTTTGAAGAAACTTGAATGAATCTAAAAATCGTATTTCAAAATTAATTGGGCACATTTTTCCAAGTTTTAAGCAATAATACTCACCAACTTTAATACTTTTTGAAAAAGAAATATATTTTTCCTCTGTAGATGGAATACAATTTAAATCTCCTTCTAATCTAGCAAGTTGTTTTATAAACAAATGTGCGTCATATCCTTGAAGATTGTGAAATATAACTGGTAGTACTCTTGGTTTACGACACATAAGATTACATTTGTTATGTGCTGCTCCGCGATACTGACCTGTAAAGTGACAATGATCTCTAACTTTATCTTTTTTTAATTCGCGACTACAAATGTGACAGTTAACTGCTTTCTCAAATGATTTTTGTTCTTCCTGAGTTAGTCTAAGAGGTTTTGGTTTTTGATAAAAATCGTTATAAATTCCTTTAGTTACTTCCGCAAGTTTTTCTACAAATACTTTTGATATATCTTCATCTTCAGAAGTTTTTGTATAAATTATTGGTTTTATTTTTTTATCTACTATTCCTTTGACATAAAAACAAAATCCTGATGGTTCATGTTTCTGATAATTATAATTATAAGATTCTTTTGGATTAGGACTGCAACTATTCATTGGTTTAGTAAAGCATTCAAAATCTGCATAAACTACAAAAGGAATAGGAAGTTGTTTATGATAATTTTTGAAATATAGCATTGTGCTTGGTTCAGGCATTTTTACAGCTACTGTTTGATTGTTAGAACAATATTTGATGTTTATCTAATAATTCTTCTTTAGTAAAATGACTAAAACATCTCTTACAAATAAATATTTCACCATTATGACTTGTAGTTTTTTGAGACCTTATCAACCTATGAAAATTTTTAATAAGAGTATAATGCAAGGCACCATCTTCTTCATACAAAAATAAATCAATAGTATTTTTACAATCTCTCTTTGCCTCTCTCAAAGGATAAATAATCATTTTTTCATCATTAGAAAAAACATTTATTCCTGGAAGTTCTGGATTAAGTTGCTCAAATTGAGTGATATTATTTACTTTCATTGGAAAAGTAATTCCTTTAGTGTTAAGTGAAAACTCATACTTTTTTAAATCGCTTATTCTTTCTTCTTGTGATTCTTTTGGATGAAGATATCTAAGTATACACCAAAGAAAGCATTTGCCATCTTTATTTTTAATATTAACAATTGCTTTTTTATTTTTTATCCAACTAGGAAGATCAATGTAAGATGATCCCTTAGTTGGATTAAACTCAATAGTATGAATTTCAAATTTTACAACTTCTTTAAAATACCATCCACTTCCATTGGCTTGATAAACATCTAAATCATTAAAAATATTTTTATAACAAGAATTAATTAATTTATTTTCATCTGTTGAGTTTAAATTCTTACGAACTCCTGATCTAAAGTAAGCCTTATCCTGTTTCAAACCTACAACTCCTTTGTCTTTACTAAATATTTGCTGTTCCATTAAACAAACCAAAACAAGTTCAAACTTTATGTTTTTGTGATGAGTAAAAAATTCTTTAAGGATATTAAATTTCATATTTAAAAATTCAACTGGAGATGACCCTGGTTCTCCTTCAATAACATATTTATTAACAAAGTTCTCCAAAGATGATTTCTCTTTAATAAGCCCTTGATCATATTCTCTCATTGCCCTCTCAAGAGCTTCACGTAAATAAGAAGGAGTATCCGGTGGTATCTTTTTATTTTTTATACATTCCTCAAAATACTCTTCAAATGTTTTTATCTTTTTCTTTTTAGTGGTATCTTTCTTTTTCTTGTATTTCTTCTTTATATCTACTCCTTGTTTTACTTTTTCATTAAGCTTATCAAGTCTTCTTATATCTCTAATTAATTTTTCTTTTTCACTTAATTCCTTATAGCTTTTTTGTATTGTTTTTTTCTTCTGGCTTAATATATATCTTAATTGATCCAAAGATAAACTCTTATATTGGTTATCTGTTATAAAGGGTTGAGAACCCTGAAAACCGTTATCAAACTGGTTAGACATGACGTCTTCTAATAAGTGATTATATTAGAAGACGAAAACTTTTAAATTTCAATTTTATTTAATCCTCTTATGAAAAGATATTCTTTTTTATACTCCCTTGCATATTCTGGGATTTTATTATTAGCATTTTCCGTCATTTTTCCGATTAATTCCGTTTGAAGGGGGGTACTAAAGTGCTCCAGAGATACCATTTTACTAACTACTGGTTGTATTGCTAAGCCCGGGCTTTTTCGATGCATTTCTCTTAGGTAATCAGTGTAAGCATTCACCTGGTTGAAATGGCAAGTATGCTTTAACTTAAGAAACTCATTCTGCTTGTGGCTTGTGTTTAGTACCCGGCTGGCCTTTCACAGCTATCTCTGACAACAGAAGCTAACAGAATAAGCAAAGTCCAGTTCGACAATCAATCAATATGCCCTAACTGGCCCTGAATGCATTTTCATCGAGTTTGCGAATGTTTTGATGGCTTGACGGCGATAAATGAGGGTGGTGCAGATTTATGAAGCAGTGAAAACGTTGTAGCGGGTATTGGTATGTTCGAAAGCGTACAATGAATCGGAATGTATGAATTCGCGCTGATATACATTTTAAAAGAGAGGATAACGTTTCTGTTGATGTAAGAATTAAAAAATCTAGTATATTACATAGCTAATTCATATTTAAAAACTAAATGATTAATAAAAGAGTTTTTAAAACGCATAGTGTTGTCCTATGATTATAACTGGATAGTTTAACACGAGGCATAATAGATAAAAGTGCATGGATGTTCTTTAGCTTTAGAAACTTTTTTTGATAATTTTACAGTCTTGCCTCTCTAAGAAATCTTAAACACTTACGGGCTTAGACGTATATTTTATTTTAAAACAGCGGTCTAAGAAACATTGTACAGGTGTAAGGTCGGACTCGGACGCGACGTAGACAGATAATGCGTAATTGATATTAGGTAGGACTATTGTATTAAAGAGAAGGTCTATTTCTGACTGATTGTTCCCCTGTCACATCTGGAAGGCGACGCCCAAAATCTCTACTTCATTACAGTTTTGTATCATCCCATAGATGAGTAGAGATCGCGGTTGCCTCTCTTTTTGATCGTCAACTCTTTACATTTGCTTGAATTGCAACACATTCCTTCTGTATTTCTTGTACACAAGAAATGTCTTTCGTGGTCTCGATTATCAGTATTCAAAATAAATGACATGCCGCCTTATATTATATTCAGTTGTAATACCGTACTTGTATTTGGTTTTTATTGTTCTCTGTATAGATGTCTGTGTGTCTGTGTCTGTGTCTGTAAATTTATGCACTAATTAAATGAAATCCCCCCCCCCAACCCCCGTAACAGAGCAGGAATTAAAGCGTCTATGCCGGGGATTTAACGCGTATATTAACGGCGTGAAGTCTCCGAGGGAGTAATTTAACACCTAATTTTAGTGGAGATTTTAATAATGCATCGGAAGTTACCTTTAGTTATTACCCGGGAGTAGTCCCTTACATAAGCCACATAGGTATGTGCCGGCCCAAAGGGTATGGTTTTTGGGTCTTGGTGTAAAAACGGGTATACACCTTGCCCATTTTGGTCTGGAATCGGGTATGCTTTTCAAGGAAACTACGGGAGTGTATGAAGGTATTTACCGTTTCAATTCCAAATGAGCAAGAAAGAAAGAGAAACATGCGAATTCGAAATGGATTTGAAATATATATTTTTTGTTTAAGTAATCTAAGTAATGTTGTCATCTAAGAAACCAAAAAAAAAAGTGTGTAATTCACCGTATCCTACAACCGAGCCCGCAGCGAATAGCTATGCAACCGGACAAGTTAAACAATTTCTTTGCATCCACGGCCGAACGCACCATTGGCATCAACGTCCACCATGTTGATGAGTACGCCTCAATTATAACTTGATTCAATCACTCCCTGCAAACTTTGATGAAGGGTTTCAAATCAGGACCATTACTCTTAAGGAGGCCATCCATGAGTTACGCAATATTCGATCAGACCGTTGACTGGTCGTGATAACATCCCTGCAAACATGATTACGACCCTATATTAATACTACTAGTGCTTTCAAAGGTTTTTGAACGACTGGTTTTCCGTAAGCTATCTGATTTTAATGATAAGAGCAATGTTTCGCAACAGTAACATTTCTGCCCATCGAAAGGGACAATCGACCACTACTGTAATTCAAGCTATACGAGATGACATAGTAAAAGCCATGAAACGTTCGGAGGTAACTATGATGATCTTAGCCGACTTCTCCAAAGCCTTCGATACGATCTGTTTCAGAAATCCTATCACCAAGATGAGTAAAAATAGGTTTCTCTAGAAACTTCCTGGTACGAGCACTCAATTATGTTACGTATCGTAAAAAATTCGTAGAGCATGACACTAGTACAACTTGTTTCTAGACGTCGAATTTAATTAGGCTGATTTAGCAACTGAACGGGAACGTCATTTGACGACGGCGCGCGCAAATCAAACAGTTGGTTTAACCAATGGCAGAGGACCAAATTAGGCACCGGAAGTCGTGTTTAGTCAGGAGCCGACTCATGGTTTAGTCTTTTCCGCGCGCTTGCCGGTCGTCAACTGACGTTCCTGTCCTTTTGCGAAATCAGTCGAATTTGCCGAAAGCCCAACACAAAAATAAAGAAACGGTTAAGGAAACTGTTAAATGTATTCTAATGTATTCATAATCTATGAATTGAGTTCGGCACGCCAGTAGCACGACGTTTGAAAAGGGCCTAAGCAACCTCGCTGGAGATATTGTCCACGATGCCGTTGTTTAATATTAAAACCTTTCCCTGTTCAGTGTCAACTAGATAAAGAGCCGTTATTTTCTGTTCTCCCAACTTTCTTTTCCCTTCAAAACTAAACAAAACACAATGTTAAACTTCTTCATAAGTTTAATTTGCCTTTGAAATATCTTTACTCTATTGACGGAACCGCTCCCTTGATTAATAAACAGAAATACAATCAGTGATAGGCTTCCGCAATTCGGTCTCATCATGTCTATTAAAATCAAGGCTTGAAAATTATCTGAAACATTTCAACGACTTCAACAACATTGATCTTATTTCTTATAAAAACTTTTTTTTGGTGGGAAAAGTAACCTAAAAATATACTTTACAATAATCAAAATTTAGAAAATGACCACAACTCATAACGCTGTTATAAAGATCGGAGGTAATTTAATCGAAAAACAAAGCAGAATAAACCCACAACAAGGTGAATTCTGCAATATAGGTATCAGTCGTCACAATGAGAACTTGTCGGACACTGTTCAGTGGTTAAGACTTGAGCTTATTAGCAAACTGGAATAAAATCTATACACACGCTTTTAAAAGATGTAAAGTTTAAATTTATGATGGGGAAAAAGACTGAACAAAATCAAAAGAAGTAGCCTTTTGCAGATAAACGTCATGATGGATTAAAATCGCCTTTGTGGTTTTGGGTCAAGAAAAACAAACCGATTAGGGCTTTTTCATTTTCCGTTACGTGAGAGTACTAGTGCTGGACTGTTTAGGTACAAAAAGATCATTTCATGTTTGACATGCCTGTGTTGAAGTGCCCATAACCTGAAAATGTGTATTTTTTAATTAAAAGTACACATTGCTACAAGAGAAAAAATCTATTTGAACACAACGTTTTCTTTGAAATGTACGATCAGCGGAACGGTTGTACTAAGTCTTAAAAAATTCTTAAAATAAGGTCATTTTCTAAATTGAAAAAGACCAAATTGTCTTAAGACGGTCAGGTAGAAATGTGTTGTTAATGGTAATACAGTAGAATCCCGCTAACTCGAACCCCTATAACTCGAACAACCCCGCTAACTCGAACAGAGTCTCAATTCCCTTGGATTTGAACTAACTTTTCAGTCATTTTTACCCGGATAACTCGAACCCCGATAACTCGAAAACCCCGCTAACTCGAACAGATTTTCGCTTCCCTTGACCAAAGTTTACCCCGATAACTCGAATTTCTGGTTCTTATAACTCGACAGGAAGCCCAATTGACATATCCCATTAGCTTTTCTTATTGTGTGATCGAACTCTAACACTAGAGCAAAGACTGGAGCAATTTGATTTTAATTAGTCAAACGAACAGATCACGTAATTGACAGTTACATGTGATCATAAGAGTCATACCGGATGCGGTGTATTTGCTGTCACAAAACTTGAAAGAAACAGTGCTACAGTGTACAGTGCATTAAAAAAGTATCCATTAAAATGTCTGTAAAAAAACATTAGGCATTTAAGCTGGAGAGTTCGTCAGATGCTGAACAGTACAATTGCATAATGCTCACTTCTCAAGGCGTTCCAACTCCTTCTTCAAAATGTTGACAAATTTCTCTTGACCAGAGATTCTCAGCTTACATGGGACTTGCATCCCCTCTCCGTCCCCAAAGTTAACAGCTTTGTCGGCTTTTATGATCACACTACAGGAACTATGCTGGTCTGCTTCAAGAAAATAGAAGATTGTTTTAGCAAAGCGTCCACGTTTTCCTCTCTTCAAATGGCCCACCACTTCACCATCTTTTAGGACACACACCGCGTATTTATCTACAGCATTGTTTGGTTCTGGAATTGCTTGCAGAACTTCTCCCCGGCATGGTTTCCAGTCATCTAAATAAGCGTGATATCCCTTCACATGCGAATCAATTTCAAATGAACTGCTTGGCTGCATGATGTTCGGCTGATATTCGGCTGTGTATAATGTGGCGAACCAATAATAAAATGTGCCCGGGGAAAATGGACTGGACGTGTCGATTACAGTGCCGCTGCGTTGAAACTTGATGCGCTAAATATTTTACTGATTGACAGGTCGGCTCGGTTCTTATCTGGACTATGACCGTTTCCGGTTTTACTATCCACTTTGTCTCTCGCTTTGTCACGATGTCGTCTTCTAAAAAGCGAAAGATTTCTTCGAAAACGTTGAAAGAGAAGTATGAAGCGATAAAGAAACTCGAAAGTGGATGTGCAAACAAAAACGTAGCCGCAGATTAT